AGAGAAATAGATGGGCTGGGCTGGGATAGAGTTTGCTTTCTTCATAGTAGCTAGTATGTGGCTATGTTTTGGATTTGTGCTGGAAACAGTGTTGATAACACAGAGATGTTTTCGTTATTGCTGAGCAGAGCTTACACAGAGCCAAGGCCTCTTCTGCTCCTCACCCCACCCCAGCAGCGAGTAGGCTGGGGGTGCACAAGGAGTTGGGAGGGGACACAGCCGGGACAGCTGACCCCAACTGACCAAAGGGATATTCCATACCGTATGATTTCATGCTCAGCATATAGAGCTGGGGGAAGAAGGAAAGGGGGACATTCGGAGCGATGGTGTTTGTCTTCCCATGTAACTGTTACATGTGATGGAGCCCTGCTGTCCTGGGGATGGCTGAACACCTGCCTGCCCATGCGGAGAGGTGAATTAATTCCTTATTTTGCTTTGCTTGAGCACGTGGCTTTTACTTTCCTGATTCAACTGTCTTTATCTCAACCCACAAGTTTTTGCACTTTTATCCTTCCAATTCTCTCCCTATGCCACTGGGGAGGGGAGTGAGCGAGTGGCTGGTGGGGCTGAGCTGCCAACTGGGGTTAACCCACAACAGCGGAGAAGATGAAAAAGGGGCAAGGACCATGGGACAAGGCAACCTAGAAAAGTCTGAGAGGCACAAGCTGGGCCTGATAAGGGTAGAGAATAAAATGGAGAGGAAGGGAGGGGGCAGGACAGGCAGAGGATGGGAGGTATGTGGTCATGGTTACAGTGGGTGGGTGGAAGAGCCTAGGACCATTAAAGCACAGTCTCCTGCAGAGCCCTGAGATGCGCTCTCAGTCCCCAAACCCACCTTTCCTCTGCAAACCCTTGGGCAAAGCACTCCCTCCCCATGTCGGGTTGGTTGAGGAAGACGGAAGAGCTTTGCTTGCCATCCCTCTGTTACCTTGAGAGGTCACGGTCTCTGCTGAGCCCAAAGGCAGCGGCTCGGATGATGACTCACAGGGGTGTCACCATGATGCCACACTACTGTTTCCTGTGTTGGGAGTGTAGTTGTGCTTTCACTCTCGCAGTAGTCAATTAAAGGATTGAAACAGCAGCGAAAGCACAAAGTCACGCCTCAAAGTTAGGAAGTGCCAGAATTGAGTTTCTTTGCCACTTTCATTTCCCTACTCCCCTTCCACCCCCCTATGTTGTGGTCCTACTGTGAAATCACCCTGTTTAGTTCAGCTCCTTCTCTTCCCTGGCACAACGGGAGCTACTCTGGGCATGAAGTAGCGTGGTGCAGCGAAAGAAATGCTGCACAGTTGATCTCTTGTTTTGTGTTACAGGAATTAGGCAACGTGTAGTGAGTGATATAGGGGCTGGAAGAAGAGAAAAGCTGACCTGCTGGACGAGGCAGGCTTTTGCTGCCCTGGAAAACAAGCGCTTGTGGTCTCTGCGTGGAGTCCTTGTGCGGGGTGGGTTGATCGCTCGGGCTCAGCTGTCTACAGGCGGTCGCTTCCTCTAAGCACGTAGGTCTACAACTGCCTGACCCAGAGGCTTAGGCTGATTTTCAGACACGAAGGACACTGTTACCGATGAGGTCTCTTTGTACCACACATAAGGCACAATTATGATTGTGACAAATGAAAATGTCTCTGAGCTCTCAGACATACTGCTTTGGACTTGAGTGACTGCACCTCAGCTCCTTCTGCTCAATGTGGATAAAGCACGTCCTTACTTCACTGTGTGTCCTAAAAAGAAAGCAGTATTTGTGAAGCACTCAGATACTTAAGTGCCATAGGAAAAATTGAAGAAATTAGTGATTCTGTCTTTGGAATGAGAGCTGGGCAGTGGGTAGTGACTAGGGTGTGGAATAATGCATTCAAAAAGAAAGTTGCAATGAAATATTTAATACACCGATACAAAGATGCTGTGAGCAGTATACTATGAGACAAGACAGTGTCATAATGTTTTGCAATCACATTTGTAATAGGCCAAACTGGAGTTTCATGGATAACCTTAATTATGTTTTAAATTTTGAATGCTTAGTTTGTAGCCCTAAGACTATTTTTTGCCATAATATTTTCCATGTGTGAAAGTGTTTAATATAGAAAAGAATAATAACTCGAGCTAGTGAAAAAATCACTTACCTTCCTCTACAAATTAATTTGATGGAAAATAAGTCAGCAAGGCAATTTTCACACTTTAGCTATGCCTTCGTAACTGTGCAGTAGAGCAAGGTATCCTCTTTGGTAGTGAAAAGAGGTTTTACTTATTGACTTGATTTACTGATTCTTCTTGTCTTTAATTCAGATACGTAGGGTGGACAGCATCATGCACATTGACGAATTGTCAGGGCACCTGGCGTACGCGTGTAGGAATTGTTACTTTATTAATATCTAAAGAAACAAGTTATTAGAAAATTTCTGTCAAATTTTATGTTAAAATCCTCGAGAAACTAGTTTTGATGATGTTGCACGCAGATTCCTGGGGAGCTAAATACTCTGGGTTAAAATATTTTACTTAACAAAGGAGATTAACTAAAAACTTATCTGAAATCATGGTTATGTCTCCTACCAGAAAGTCTGGAGGAAATTATTCTTTTTCATGTATTTGTAAAGAAAGCTCAGAATAAGCAGAGCACGTTTGGCGAGTTCTGAACTGCAGCAGGCTTACAACTAACTTTTCCAGGTTGTATCTTTTCAGGTATACGTAGAGTTATCATAAGGGGAGCGGGGCAGTTTAGGAAAAATGAACAAAGTGACAGCACTGCTGCTAGAAAAATTTAATGCCCAGGGAGCTCATGATCAAATATTTATAGCTTTATTGGCAACAAATACTTTGTGAGACAAGACTACAAAGCACTCCCATGCTCAGGTATTCTTTTTGCTATCACCCTATCCATTTCTTTCACCATACCCTTTTTCAGAATACTTACTATGCTGTCAGCATTGTTATTGCCAACCCCATTGCAAACTAGTAAAATGGGGAATGATATTTAATGCCTTTTTGGGGATTTCTCAGTTGATCCAGTTTGTTCCTAGTCAAATATTGTGTTCATTTTAAATGCTGCAACTGGCACAGCAAGTAGGACATTTGTTCAAGAATCTGTTTTTCAAATACATCCTATTTAGAGATCTAGAAACTTAAAAAAAGTCAGAAAACATTTTGATTCATTTTTAGGTGATTAGACCAGTTTTCATATTGTACTTCAACCACTACTTATCTTAGGAGATGTTTTTGCCAGGAAAAGGTTGCACTACGAATAAATCTTTCAGCATTTCTGCAGATGCTGACTTCTGAGGCAACTGAAATGAAAGTGGCTCTTTGGAGGAGAGCCGTAACAAGATTTCCCAGTCAATGAAGCTTCTATGAAATATGAGAACAAAAAGTCACCTTATACGAGGCTGCGGTACACATTGCCAGCTAGAGCCAGCTTTGTCCAACATCTGTAGGGGTGCTGGAAAGGACAACTTGCAACCTCTCTTTTCGGGTCTCTGGTGGCAACGCTGCGAGACCTGCTTCTCAACTTGGCTTCTGTGACATTGCTGTACGGTGCTGGTGTCACTCAGCATCTCAGACTCCACAGGGATCTGGGAGACGTTTAACCCCCTGCTGCAATGCACTCCTCCTTTTGTACCAAATGTTTTTTTTTTTTCTCCTGGAGTTTAGTAGTTTGATGGCCAAAGTGCTGTGCTGTGCTCCGAAACATGCTTTTGCCTCTGCAAAGCAAAGCACCGCGCAGGGAAGAAAGAGGGTCCTTGTCAGTGCTACAACAGGCTGGTCTGCTCTACTCTGCTCCTGGTTACCATCACCAGTAGGATGGAGATCAACAAAAGCACTCATTTATTGCTAAATATCAGCTATGCTTAATCATCCATGGAACTATAAGAGATTCTCTTAGTGTCTACCTAATCAACTACTCTGCCATTTATTGGGATATTTGGCCACTTCAGTTTGAAACTGGATTTATTAATATCAAACTTAAATTATCATCAACTATTACAGATATCCTCTGAATGCTTTCCTAGGAAAATCACTGATAGGGATTATTAGAAAATATAAAATCCTTTTAAGTACTTGGGCCTTCATACAAATTTTCTATACCAAATAACATCAGGAATCTTTGGAAATCCAGATCCATACACAATTCGTCATCTAATTCATTACTTCAAAATCTTGCCTTTGGATTTAAAAAAAAACCCACACCCTTTATTATTTTGGAATTGCAGCGCTGTTATGTCAAAATCCCCATACAACTTTATATGTGTTTGTCTTACTGATTTTAGAGGTCCACCTGCTGTATTTGCAAGTAGACCATTTGCTTTCCTAAATGTCAGTCAGGAGAAACATGGCAGCAGCCTTTGCCTATCTTCACTGGACAGCTAGATGTCTGTGGTCAGTAGACATACCATGGTCCTGCCACAGCCCCTTCTATCAGATTTCACTCAGTCATTAAATTTTAAAAACAAACCAAAACCCACCACCAAACAAAAAACAACCCCAAAAACCCACCCAAACAAAAAAAACCCAACCCAAACCCTAATTGAATTGCAGTGTTTCAGTTAAGTTTCATGGTAGGGGAAAAGCAAGCTGCATTGTTATTTCTAAACTCCAAGACTGTGCTTTTATTTTAGGATGATGCCACCTGGGAACACGGCTCTGCATTCACATCACACGCATACTGCAATAGAGGGACCAAGAGAGCGCCTCGTCCCCGTCCCCACTCACCCGGGTAGGGTGCAGGGGCAGCACCGTACACTGCCCACAGGTCAGACCCACACGTGCATTTAATGCATCGATAAAGTGTAGGGTAATTTCTGGATCAGTCTTTGATAGCATCTGTGTTTCTGAAGCTGCGCAAGTGTGACAAATGGTTGGGGGATGAGAGTCTTCTACCACATCAGTACACCCCCCCCTCCCCAATTCTCCCCATCCCACCCCAACAAACAAAACAAATGCCCCGTACCTGGAGACATCTCAGTGCCTGAATAATTAATAAAATAAGCATGATAATGAATAATCTATGTTAAGCATTTTCTTACCCTTTATTTTTTCATTATGATCAGAAGAGGAATATGATTAACAGCAGTTTAAACTTTAGCAGTACAATTTCAGTATTAAATATAAAACTACACTGCAAGTTGATGTATTTTAAAAATGGTTATGTATACTCTAGCCTTAAATTTATGTATCAAATACAAGTAACTCAGTTGTTTCTTGCCTTGACAATTAACATATCTAACAAATTTCAACAAGCCAGACATCCATCTTTTCCATTAAAAAAAATAAGCAAGCACACCAACTCTTATTCATAGCAAGGGGGTGTAAAGATTCAACACTTTCCTGAGTGTTGTGCAAAGAGTAACAGGTTTGAGAAAGTCAGTTAAATAAGTGTAATGATAAACCTAAAGCTAAGCTGGAGGACCTTTTGATTAACTTCATATTTCATATATTACTTGCATCAGTTGAGAGCAACATGAGTTACAGAACTTCCATGAAAACAAGCCACTTACAAGCAGGTGGTTAAGCTTGATCAGTTTATTAAAAGGATTATATGACACGGTTGCCTGCAATAGCAGGGGACTGGATCTGATGACCCAGGAAGTTCTTTCCAGTCCCATGTTTCTAAGCCATGCACCAAGTGTATCCAGCCCACACTTTCACATTTGGAAAAAGCCGAAGCCACACACACACACTCACAGAAAAAAAAAATTAAAAAAAAAAGTCCTTGATGACACCATTTCATTTCTCTAGATATTCACTATGCAGAAGGGAACAGAGCTAAAGTCCTGTACAGAGGATACATTTACTCGAGGTTGATGTGGTACTGAAGTCAGTTAATAATTAGATACCTCCAGGCAGATTCAGTTACAGGGCATACCAACACTGCACACTGCCAGACAATTTCTAATCAAGCCAAGAACCTCCTGCAGGAATGAGGTCTCTTTGCTAGCAAGCACAGAGCACACTGAATAAGCTAAAAGCAGCTGTTCTTAAATGAACTACCCTACCAACCGTGAGTGAATGACAGATAGATGGTAAGAAGCATTTACCTACTAGACAAGATCTCTCTGCACACTCAGGCAGAAGTAATTAGTTCAGAGCAGCAACCATTGCTCCTACCTTGCCTGTCTCTTGAGTACGTTCTCTTTAAAAGCTGGTCTACAGAATCAGTGCAGCCTTTCTCAAGCACTACCAAAGTAGTAGTTTGCCGCTGCCACGCAAGACTCTACTTTCAAATGGTAGTCAAGACATTCCCATCGTCATGGCCAGTTTGCTAAGACAACGTATACAGCCATAGCAAAAAGCCTTTGCAACAACTAGAGATCTCAACAATTGCCTACATTCAGCCCATCTAACTTTTAGGCACTTGGTTAAGGTGTCTGGGTCCCTAGTCACCCAGAACTCCCCCCACCCCCCCAGGAAAAAATAAAACTTGAAAAAAATTAGTAATCACTGAAGGCAGATAGTCTCAATTACCTTCTGGAGGTGTCTCTTGACCCCCACTGAGCAAAGCTGCATTTCAAGCAACCAAGTTCTTAACACAGGCACCTCAGTTAGACAGGATGAATGGAGACTTGCATCTCTTTCAAGAGATACTGTCAATACTCTCCAAAACCAAAGGCAATTAAGCAATTAAGGTTTGCAACTCCAGTTACGTTTGGAAACAAACTTACAGTCAAGTAATTAACCTGTAGTCCCTCCCTCCCAAGCATAACAGCCTTCCACATGGAGGCTCTGCTATTTAAAAAAAAAAAGCATTCTTTCAAATAGAGTGGACACGGCTGCTTTGCCACTCATTCATGGGGAAGCTGAAGGATCAGAGAACAGTTACTCAGAGACCTGGAATGACTAAGCACTGCTAGTGCATGCAAAGCAGAATTAACAAGATGGTTTTTAAATTAACCCTAGTCATCTTCTCCACCCCACAAAATTCATGCAAGTGTTTGAGAAGATAGTCAAGACATAATAGCCCTGCTTTCCAAAAAGGCTTAGGCTTTTTTTTCACATATTGTAAGAGAAACTTGCTTTTGTTTTCTTTCTGTGGGTAGAGAAATGCATTTTTGGCATGTTTGAGAATCATAGATTATCTATGAAGTCCATGCTGTTTAAATTCTCCAACTAGTTTCTATAACCTGTCAAAAAACCCATAAGCAACCTACACGTTGCCCCAGTATTGAACATGCATGCTCAGAACTCTCCACTTTAGTGAAATGAGGTGTTACTTCTGTGCTGATAGTTGACGAGTCAGCATTACACGACTTTGAGACCAACTAAATTAACATTGTCGTAATATGAAAGGCAAGCACAAGTTCATTTATTTATAGCAAAGGTCTTGGGTTACAGGAGGTCAGTTCTTGCCATCTTGGAAAGATAGGGGATAACTTATTGCATACATGTGCATTATAATTTAGCAGCAAGTCATTCATAGAAACACTTCCCTCCTACTGCTTTTTTGGTTTATCTCAATTATATATATATTTTAGCTTTACAAAGCATTTAACACCACCTTTAAGTTAATGGTCTTTTATTGGAAAAAAAGACTAGCATTTACAACTTGGAATGGACATAAATTGTAATATCTTGAACAGCAATGTTGATAGTTGTGCTGAAGTCCACAGGCTACTCCGCCAGCTCCAAGTCATGGTACAGAAGGTTTTAAAAATATGAGAGTCCAAAGATGCTCCCTTGGTGAAGGTTTCTTTTAAAAATTTTGTGAACGGTAACAGCCCGACACCCGTTTCACTATAGTGCAATGCAGACAATGTTAAACCAGTATTTTAACACAGATATGCCATCCATAGTTAAGATCATCATATTTTTGGAGCACACTGCTACGTACAGGAGAACCATTCAACCTTTAGGGCATTTTCTCTAAGTTTTGCATCCTTCAACCATTTTGCTGCATACCATCCTGAGGTATAAACCAATTTTAAAGTAAACCAGCTATGACAATTTATACTACAAATTGAACTAGAATCCACTGTTGAACAAGAGTGGATCTTTTAGGTTGGTTTTTTTTTTCCTTTTAATACAAATGTCTGACTGTGCTCAATTGTCAAGCTGCATGCATGAAAAACCGGCCAGCCCAAACAGTGTAATAGTCATTAGCAAATGGAACTTTTGAGTTCACTAAGTGCTTCCTTTTTTTTTATTTTCAAGGTAGTACAATTATTTATATTGTAAAACTGATGTTTAACTTTTATCTTTTGGGGACAGGACCACCAACCATTACATGCAGTTTGTGGACAGAAGGTATTTTGACATTCAGTTTTGCTATACAGAAACAGAATGAATAAATGAACATTTTTTTTGCAAGAGGTAAGTAAAAGATTCAATTTGATTCTTCTAGAGGAAAAAAAGGTGTAAAGGAGGTCTCTTCACTTTGCAGTCATCATCTGTACGAATTCTGAAAAGATAAAAAGTCACTGTGATTTATTGTCTCCAGAGTACTTCAACTGGTCTCTTAAACACACTTGGCATAAAAAAAGCCCCTTTTACTGCATCCAAGTTTTTGTCCACAGAAGTGGACATCTGAATAAACTGGTGTCTCAAGTAATGGGTTTGAGTCAAGATAAGTATCTTTTTACCTTCGTAGTTGACTTGCCCATCCCCATCAATGTCTGCTTCTCTGATCATTTCGTCTACTTCTTCATCTGTTAGCTTTTCTCCTAAGTTTGTCATAACATGACGTAGTTCTGCTGCACTGATATAGCCGTTGCCATCCTGCGATGAAAGAGTTGCACAAGATCATGATCAACAATCCTGACATTGCTTAACTGTGAAACTACAACTAGGTTTCCAGTAACTGCTTCTGAACTAGCCTTATGGCACTTGGGACAGATACACAGACCTGGTGCACTGTATAACCCTACATTACATACTAATTTCATTGCCTTACAATGCACACATGTCACCATATACTTCTATACAATTATTGTACTGTAAGAGTAACTGCATGCCTGATTTGTAGTGTGATAAGGTAGTTTTGATGCTTTTAAAGAGCTTTCAAAAATAAATCCAGAAACAAAGTGGTTTTTGTTTAGTCTCTGCTGCCCAAGCAAGGCCAAAAAAATTTCCCCACCAGCAAGAAATAAAGTCAGCTTTCTCCTCTTTGTAATACTACCTCTATAACTAGACTGCAGGTGGCTAGGTTAGGCTTCTTGGATAAGATGATACAGAACAAACCTTCAAATAAAGCATCTGAATTCTACTCAGGAGTAGTGAAAAAGCTTCATGACAAAAAAAGACACTGTCAGTGTTCTGACTAGTAATATCCAAACCTAGAGCTCATCCCTAGCTATTTCAGATATTGTTCTCTTCCATCTACAGGAAGATTACACTAGATTAGAGCAGGAGTTCTCGTGATGGCCATCACCAGTAGATAAGCTACCTCAGAGGCTTTAAACAAATGTAGTCTGCAGAAACAACTCCACAGGGTAGATGAAGTACTAACCAAATAATCAAACATTTCCTTTAGCACATTTTCCAGCTAAGTACTAGAGATCACCACTTTTTTCCATAAAAAGTAGTAGTAAGGTCTTCTTCCACACATGCATGTGCATCAGCTTAGCAGCTGCACCAGACATTGCTCAATTATCTTGTAACATCTGTCATATCCAAGCAATCCAAAGAGGGGAACCCCTGTTCTAGAAATAATTGACCTTCATATATGCCCGGGTATCCTTAAAGAAGACAGAGGAAGTTGAGTAACCTCAAAGTCCGCTTATTGAAAATGGAACATCCAATACTTCACATCCCTCTGAATACTGATGACATCTTTAGCTTCAAAAGCTTCCGTAAAGTATAAAGCCTTATGCATCCATGCAAACAATTCCCCATTCCCCCAAAGTCAGAAGGTTCCGACAAAACCCACCCCCCAGAAAAACCAAACCACCCCACAAGCATCAAGTTCTGCTCATCTCTGCTCCAAAGAAAAGGCCAGAAAGTTCTCCTCATGATGAGCCTAAACCTTAGATCTGCTGTGTAGAATCAGGTAGAACCAGCCTGCAAAAGCCCTAGTTGTGTTTCCAGAACAGTCCCTGCTCTGTTTCCAATTCCTCTGCTTCTATTAGAAGACTTTTCCTTCTAGACAAGAGGAGAGAAAACACCAAGGAAAAAATTGACATCATTAGTGCTTCTAAAGAGTATTTGTACTTCTATTAATACCTTGTCAAAGACTCGGAATGCCTCACGGATTTCTTCCTCGCTGTCTGTGTCCTTCATTTTTCTGGCCATCATGGTTAAAAATTCAGGGAAGTCGATAGTGCCATTGCCTTAATGAAAAGAAACTTCCAAAAATTAAACTTCCACACTTTTCTTTATACAAAAAAGAAATCCGGCATTTAATTTAGCCAGAGAGAAGACTGACAGATCCTCTGTAAACCATTCTTTATAGAAGAACTAGATCTTCTCCCTCAATTGCTACCACTGCCTTTTTGCTATTACAATGTCCAGTAGCCACTGTCACTGCAGTGTTTCAGCACAACAAAAATAGTTCAACTGTTACCTTCTCTCCAGGTCAAACCACACCATTTGCCACCCAAATTGCAAGTAAAATGTCAGTCTGATGCTTTAAGGTTAACCAATACTAAGACTTATCTTTACTTTGAAACACTCCCCAAAATCAATCATTTAGTTTCTTTGGAATCTCCCACAGCAATTGGGAAGGGAATGTATTATAAAGCTGGCACTACAAATCCAGAATATCGAAAATCTGAGAAAATTGCACTTCACTAAGCTGCTCAAATATGTGTTCCTTGTTAAAAATCTATCTTCTTATCAACATATGCTGTACACCACAGAAGTAATGCACCATTTTAAGGGGCAACAAGGATCTGCAAATTCCAGTGATGTGAGAAAAGCTGCCACTATGTGGCACTTCTGATAATCTTAGCAGTATGTGTTCTTACAGGTATTTCACCACAAAACTGAAAATCCCCGGTAACACCCAGGCCTCACCCCTAAGATTTTTAAGTTCTTCATTCAAATCAAAGATTCAAACTTCAGGCTGCTCAAAGCTGTGAGAAAAGTGGTATGGTGAAGAAACAAGTTCTCTGAAACAGCAGAAACTAGATTTGTATAGTCAACATTCAGCCCTATAGGCTAAAACACCTGCATTAAATAGTTCACTGTGCAACTAAGATCTACCCATCACTTGACAGAAACATACAAACTCAGTGGGTAAGTATAGCAAAGAAGCTAAATAAATACAGTTTAAGAAAACCTTTGCAGCTATTTATCATCATGGCCAGCTTTATCTACAGCTAAATCCGAATACAGGTCTTGTTCATTGAGGATTTTTCAAAGCTGAGTACATGTAGAATAACAGCAAAGCATTCTGCCATAAAGCAAGTTTAAACAGATAGGCAGGCATACTTATCTGAAGTCCCCAGTCTCCTTTCATTTTTAGTCTACCAGTGAAGCATTGTGGACTGCAGCCTAGAGAAGTCACTATACACAAACTCTATGTAGCACTGCAAAGTAACTTTTTTCAGTATCTGCATCCAGGAGTTAGAAATTAAAGTCAACTTACATTTTAGGAAAGTAGTTGTAATTAATGTAGTCTGATAATCAGATAATCTATACTCTTGCCAACATACTTTCACTCTTCTTTTATACAGATATTAGAGAAAAATCACTATCACAACCAATGTACAAGATCACAGCCTTGACATCACTAGGGGAAAGCATTTTTCCTTTTTATAACTGCTAGCCTGTCTGGAGTCTCAGAAATACAACGTGCAGTTACCCCTTCTGGCATCCGTTAAGAAATTCTGAAAGGCTTGATACAGGAAGGTTTTTCTGCTTCTGCCTCCAATCTCTCTCCCTTATCTATTAGTGATCTAATAGACTACATTAGCCTATACAGTCTCTCCCTGTTGTGTTTTCAATTCTTGGAAGCTTAGCACTGTTCCACTCCTACCAGATTTTTGCCCTAAGATAAAACCACAGACATTAGAAGGGCTAAAGACCAACATGGGCTGACAAAACACATATAGAAAAGCTGGGTGAAAACACAGGTTAACAGCAGGTCAGGGCAAGTCAGATAGCAATAGGAAGCCTGTGACCCATAAAAATATTAAAGACAAACAGCGTAACTTTGTCTCTGCCCATCCCCTCTTTTGGAGTCTCACTAATACTGCTAGCATCTGACTGCTGTGCAGAGAGCAATTAAAAAAATTGACACCTGAGTTTAGATTCTATTAAGCATTTTGAAACTGCTTCAAGAGATCAATGTCACAGAATCTTCTCTATACAGTCCAACCCCAGGTGTGGAGGTAATACATACTCAAGATGATCACAGTGCTAATAACTACTTTTCCAACACTTACCATCAGCATCTACCTCGTTGATCATATCCTGCAATTCTGCTTCTGTTGGATTTTGACCCAATGACCTCATGACAGTTCCCAGTTCTTTTGTTGTGATAGTACCATCACCATCTTTGTCAAATAGGGAAAAGGCTTCCTTGAATTCTAGAAGCAGAAACAGTCCCAGTGTTTAGTAACATCACCAGCATAAGAAAGCTGCATACTAAAAATGCACTCCACTGACAACATCTAGTACAATTTTAAGAAACATTTTATCTAACTGTTCATGTATTGAATTAACTAGTATTAATAAAAAATTAATTACAGTATCAACACATAATTTGTATAGTGTATTTAAACTTATTTCATGTGGCTATTATCTGCATTACAACATCATCGTGCTTGAGACAGTTGCACCATAAACAGCAGCTGCTTAGGATACGAGAAAGGACACACTGGGTTCCCTTCACCATTAACAGACTTACAGGAACAGTAAGTCTGATGTCAGCTACAAGTGGGTGATTGGTCTCCAGAAAGTCAAATAGTGCTCCTTTGCCTAACCAGTCTGAATTACAAACACCCTGTTACAAGCTATTTTAAAGACATTGGCTTATATTAACATGTAATAAACCCATTTTAGGTTTATTTGTTTGCATTTCACTCCAAGTTTATCTTCATTAAAAAGAGCACCTAGGTCTGCTTTGACTACAAGAAGTTCACTTGAGTCTAGCAATTATTTCTGTTTGCAAGAAATCCAGACTTGACTCAAGTCTGAAAGTCTAAAAAAAGTTTTATCTGTAGTCCAAGGAACAAGCAGCCTATATTAAGAGGCAATGAACCAGTAATCTTCCAGAATGCTTGGCTGGTTTTGATTTTTTTTTTTGAGTGCTTTTTTAAAAGGCATTCGTATAGATTTGAAATTGTCAAAAAGTTTTTTGCATTATGTTTGAGATAATGTATTTTTTTAGTCACAAGGAGTTAGCAAAAAAATCATTTCTCATCAAAACACTTACCAGCAATCTGTTCTTCAGTCAGCTGATCAGCCTACATGAAGAATAGAACATTTTAGAATATTGTTTACCTCTAGCTATGTCAAGATACTTCCTTTAGATTTCAGTAGTGATTTATCATTACTTTTACAAAGCCACTCTCAACCCCTACAATTCTGCCTCTGCAAGGAGATTCCACTCATCTACCCTATGCAGCTGTTTCCAAAAGCATATAAGCTAACTTGTTTTGAAACTGCACATGAAGAACCAGACATGCCATCCTTCAACTTAGAGGATTCCATTTGGGCAAGCAAAGGACACAGAGCAGGCTCCTTGCAACTGGTCAGAGGCACGAAATCCTTAATGACACGTTTGGGGTTTCACATCACATCAGATGTCGTTTCCAGCAGCGTAGTGACCCTAACACTGCGCGGGGGTATCTGCACATTAGTGGGCTGATGACAAGTGTGCCACCTAGTGATCCAACACCACTGAAGTCTGCCCTCCCCCACCACACTGCACCCAATATTAGCCTACCGTAAGCTGAACAGAAAGCACTGTGCTGCAATATTAGGAGGAGTTACTACTTGGTATTATGGAGATTTTTGCCATCTCTAACAAAGATAATGCCAGTTTTCACGCGTCACATTTTTCCGTTCAACCAAGCAGTTTAATATGGAGATTTTTGCCATCTCTAACAAAGATAGTGCCAGTTTTCACGCGTCACATTTTTCCGCTCAACCAAGCAGTTTACGGTGCCTCACACTGATATGCAGGTTGTTTTATATATCATTTTAAGTGGCAAGATTTAAAATGCCTGCTTATGACCTTCTGTACATCAAGAGGCCACTGCTGCATCCAAAGGTATACAGCTCAATGGGCAATTAAATAGGCTTTCCCAGAGCTTAGCTCTGCTAACCACATCCTTCCAGAATCCTCTCCCTTCTGTACAGCTAGAGCATCACAAAAAGCTCCACTGTTTGGACTCAGGAACTAACCAGTTAGGGAAAAATATGCATTCTCCTAGTAAGTAAAAATGAAAAAACACCTGAATTTTACATGCCTAGTCAAGATACTGGAGAATACAAGGTCCTAACTCCTTTTAAACTCATTTTATTGGACAGCTTTTACTAATAGAACAGAGAATTTTGTAGGTGAGAGAAAGCAGGCTTCTCATAATCCTTTTGTCCTAAAATACCATTATTCAAGTATAAAAACCACTTTACTGCAGTCAAGAACAACAAATACAACAGAGAATTAACAGGCTACACAATTTGTTAGCTTTCTTGCACAGGGAAATAGGGCAGGGTTGAAAAGCCTGCTGTGTATGTTAAGTGACATACACAGATTTCACCTGTAAATAGGTGTTGGGATTTTTTTTTAATGTTTTAATGGCTGTATGTAATGACTAAACAATTCCCCATATGTACAGTGGGTTGGAGCGGGGAGGGGGGGAGAAAAGGGTAGAAACGCTAAGAGCTAAAGACAGATTTCAAGTTTAATACATCATCTTTAAAAACAGCAGAAAACTTGTGTTCAAAAATCCAGTTTGCCATTCCAGACTCTAGTGATTTGCCAGAAAATGCGAGGTTTTACTTAAAGATTATCTAAGGAATTTACATAACAGACTCAATGCCCTGCAGAACAGGAAACGAGCCACACCTCGGCAAAAACCTCCAACCCACAGCACCAGCTTGTTGCCCCATTAGTTGGGGCTCACTGGATATTTCTAAAAAAATCAGATTTCGAATTAAAGAAAAAAGCCAACCCAAACAGCTTCACACACACGGCGATGCCAGAAGCATGCAACCCGACCCTA